GTCCACAAGAGTAAAAAAATGATCTTGATGCCACATTCTTCTTCACAGAGTCCAGGCTCCCCAATAATTTGTTCAGCATACAGATTGAACATGAATGGAGAAAGGATACAACCCTGACACACATCTTTCTTATTTTAAAGGATGTAATGTCTCTGTGCTCTGTTCACACAGCCTTTAGGTAGAGGTTTTGCATTAACACAATTAAGTGTTCTGGGATTCCCATTCTTCTTAATGTTAGCCATAATTTGTTATGATCCACTTATTTAAATGTCTTTACATAGTCAATAAAGTGCGAATAGACCTTTTTATGGTATTCTTTGCCGTTAGCCAGGATCTACCTGATATCAGCAAAGATATCTTTGGTGCCATGGGTGCTTCTAAATCCAGCTTCAACTTCTGGCAGTGCTCTATACACTGTTTTAGCAGTTTTTAAATTATTTTCAGCAATATTTTGCTTGCACGTAATAGTAACGATACTGTTTTATAATTTCTACATTCTGTTGAGTCAGCTTTTTTGAGAATGGGAACAAATGCAGATTTATTTCAGTAGATCTGCCAGCCAGACATCCTCTAAATTTCCTGGCATTCATTGGTGAGTATCCAAGGCTGCATCTGTGGATTGAAGTATGTCAATTGCTATCCCACTGATTCCTGGGGCCTTATGTTCTTGCCAATGGTTTAGTGCAGCTGTAACTTCGTTCTTCACTACCATTGGCTCTTGACCATATTTACAAAGATAGAAGACGAAGAAAAGACCAAAATGGATGTCAGAAGAGACTCTGGAAATTGCACTAGAACAATGAGAAGCAAAATAGAAGGGAAGAAATGCTGAAAGTAAAAGAGATGATCAGAAGACTTCAAAGGGCAGCTAGGGAAGACAAAACAAATAATAAGATGTGCAGAGAGCTCTAGTCAGAAAACAGAAATGATGATCTCATTATGGAATATGACTTCCCTTGTTATGTTAATGAGGTCATTGTTAGTTTAGCGTGCTTCTTGAACCAACCACTTTTGAAAGAAAAAGCAAAAGCAGATTAAACACAAAGGGGAGCCACAGAAAAAGAAAAAGGAAGGGGGAAATACATGCCAAGTGAAAATTACCAGGAACAAAAGCTGGAAACAAACATGAATATTTCCCTAGAAGTGACAAAGGAGAAAGGCTTTTCTTAGAGCTAGCTCCTTAAATGTGGGCTTCTAAGCTCCAAAATCAGGCTGGGTTTAGAATAGGCTATAGGACTAGGGATACTATAGCTAATGTTAGATGGATCTTAGCTGAAAACAGAGAATACCAGAAGAATGTCAATCTGTGTTTCATTGATTATGCAAAGGCATTTGACTATGTGGATCACAACAAACTGTGGCTGACTCTGAGAAGAATGGGAATCCCAGAACTCTTGATTGTGCTTATGCCAAACCTATACTTGGAACAGGAGGCAGATGTCAAAACAGAGCAAGGATACACTGCATGGTTCAAAATTGGAAAGGGTGTACACCAGTGATGTGTCCTATCTCCATACATTTTCAATCTATATGTGGAACAGATCATCTGGGAGGCTGGACTTTATGAGGAGGAGTTGGAGACAGGATTGAAGGAAGACTTATCAACAACCTGCATTTACCAGATGACACAACCCTGCTTGCTGAAACTGTGGAGGACCTGAAGTGATTGCTGAAGAATTTTAAGAATTCAGCCTTTAATATGTATTGAAGTTAAACATCAAGAAAACAGATTCTCACCACAGGGCCAGTTGGCAGCATCATGATAGTGAAGGGATTGATATTGTTAATGGCTTTAGTTTTCTTGGCTCCACAATCAACACCGTTGCACCAGCATAGAGGAAATCAAAAGACAAATTGCACTGGGAATGTAGCTGTCAGGAACTTCTCCAAAGTAATGAAGAGCAACAATGTCTTTCTGGAGACTAAGGTGTGCCTGATCCAGGCCAAAGTCTTTGCAATTGCTTGCTATGAGTCAGAAAGCAGGACAATGACTAGGAAGGATAGAAAGGGAATTGATACCTTTGAATTATGGTGTTAGAGAAGAGTATTGAATATATACCATGGACTGCTAGGAGAACAAACAAGTTCATCCTATAGAGTGTAAGACCAGGCTGATTCTGGAGGCAAGGATTCTGAGGCTTCGTCTGATATACTTTGGACATGTTGCAAGGAGGGACCAGTCCTTAGAGAGGGATATCATGCTTAGGAGGGTAGAGGAACAGCACAAGAGAGGAAGACCTTTGATAAGATTCAGTGAGTGGGGTAATGAGGGTAGGTGTGTCAGATGTAATAAACTTGGCACAGGATAAGGCAGGGTTCAGAGCTGTTGTACATAGGGTTGCTTTGAGTCGCAAGCAACTCAATGACACATAACAACAATAAACTCCAAAAATAAAAACATAAATGTCTGTCCTTTTAAAGCCACTCATTTGTGGCATTTCTGTAATAGCATTCTTTTTTTAATTAAGATTTTATTGCAAGTTTATAAAGAACTCGGATTTCCATTTATTCATTGTTGCACATTTTCCTCCCTGCCCCACCCCAGTTCACTTTTTCCTTTAGAAAAAAAAGTTCTTTCATTGTTTGTGGTTTTTTCTTTCTTTCATTGTTATAAAGTCCTTCCCCCGCCCCCACCCAGACCACTTTACTATGTAGCTCTTATTCTGGACTCTTGTCATGAAAATAATACCTAATCTTGAGCTGTGGTGCTGGAGAAGAGTATTGAATGTACCCTGGACTGCCAAGAAAACAAACAGATTCATCCTAGAGAGGGTTAAACCAGCTGATCCTTGGAGGCAAGGATTCTGAGGCTTCGTCGGACATACTTTGAACATGTTGTAAGGAGGGAGAGGTCCTTGGAGAGGGACATCATGCTTGGGAGGGTGGAGGGACAGCATAGGAGGGGAAGGCCCTCTATGAGTTGGATTGATTCAGTGACTGGGGTAATCGGGATGGGTGTGTCAGATGCAATGGGATTGGCACAGGATAGAGCAGGATTTAGGACTGTTGTACATAGGGTTGCTATGAGTTGCAAGCGACTTGACGGCACATAACAACAACAATCTTATATTCCTTTCAGACAGTTCTTGCACTCACCTGTTTCAATGCAGTATACATTATTTAAACCCTCTTTTCTTAGATTCCTCCTAACCCTGATGTTAGTCCTATTTTACAACATTGGCATTATGCAGTGTTTGTCCCTTTGTGACTGAGATATTTCCGTCAGCCTAATATCCTCCAGGGTTACCCATCTTGTATAATGCAGAAGGTCAAGGACATCAGCCTTCAGTATGGATTGAAGCTCAACATCAAGAAAATAAAAATTCTAACCACTGAGCAAACTGGCAGCATCATGATAGATGAAGAAGAGATTGAGATTGTTAACACCTTCAATTTGCTTGGCTCCACAATCAACACTCTTGGTACCAGCAGCCAGGAAATCAAAAGATGAATTGCATTGGAAAAGTCTGCTGTCAGAGACACCCCCTCCAAAGTACAGAAGAACATCAATGTCAGTCTAGAGACTAAGGTGCACCTGATCCAGGCCAAAGTCTTTGCAATTACTTGCTATGTATCAGAAAATGGAAATGACTAGGGATGGCAGAAGGAGAATTTATGTCTTTGAGCTGTGGTGCTGGAGAAGAGTATCAAATATACCATGGACTGCTAGGAGAATGAACAGGTTGTCCTAGAGAGAGTGAGATCAGGTTGTTCCTTGGAGGTAAGGATTCTGAAGCTTTGTCTGACATATTTTGGACATCTTGCAAGGTGAGACCAATGCTTGGAGATGGATGTCATGCTTGGGAGGGTGGAGGGACAGTGTAAGAGAGGAAGGTCTTTGATGAGATAGATTGATTAAGTGACTGGAGCAATGGGGACCGGTGTATCAGAGACAATAAGATGGGCATAGGATAGAGCAGGGTTTAGGGCTGTAGTACATAAGATTGCTATGAATTGTAGGCAACTCGAAGGCACATAACAAGACAGTTCCCAAAATGTGCACACAGACCTCAGCCTCGAGCCTCTTGGCTCTAAATGTTCCCAAGTTCTCAGTCTTGCCAATATTGGCTTCCCTCCCCTAATTGCCCAACACAGGTATCAGTCCTGCCACTATTGGCTTCTCCATCACCACCACCCCTGGCCCCTAAAATCCCATCTGACATCAATTCTCCAGCTCATCCATCGTTGCTACTGCTGTCGCAAAGTGTGTCCTACACAGTTTTGGGAAAGATCTCTCTTCTCTGGCTGGGGAAATAATTCTTTCTTTGCAGCTAGAGCTCTTCAACTGTCAATTTGTTGGTGAGACTAGCCAATCCTCTTATAGATTGTTGAGACTGGACAATTTCCTTGTGGAATGGTAGATATCCAGTCTCCTGGTGGATAAGCCAACATGCCTCACTCACATAATCGCACCCCTCCACATAATCAGTCATCAGTGCCAGAAAAGTCATAGTGAGAGACAAACTCCACAGCCTCCAACAGTGATGGGTCAATAAGTATTAAATAAGAATTAATGTGTTTTGTAAACTTTCATACAAATTACAATTAAAAAAAGAAAGCTGTTAACAAGCAACAGAAAACTTAGTCTCTTTTACATGCTTATCACAGTAATCTATTGTTCATAGCATCTCTATAAGTTATACTCTATTCAACAGCACCTAACAATCACCATCATCACAGTAATCTATGATTTGTCTCTATGAACTTGCCTTTCAGACATTTTATTTAAATGGATTCAAACAACTTGTAAAAAAATTGAAAGGACAGAATTATTATACTGTGGTTGTCAATAAGCTGTTAGTTCTTTGAGAGAAGAGGATACTTATTAATGTTTATGTTCATAATCACTAATGCAGCACATGACTACACATATGTGTTATTCAGTTTTCCCACTTGTAGGATGAGTTGAAAAGATGAACTTTTATACTTTCAAAAAGGCTGAAAAATCTAATTAAATTAAAATTGAGAGGCTTTAGTAACCATATTTAAGAAGAGTGCTTTTAACTTGCTAAAAGAGAACAGAATGATGAATAAGGAGAGAGTGTGATGGTAATTTCAAGAGGACTTTGAGTGTTACCTTCCTTCATGTTGAGAGCCTCCAGTTTTTCAGGTAACTCTGAGGTTCCACTTGTAGCAACTGAGCTTTGGATGTCTGGTAAGGCATTCCGGCGGCCTGCTCTTGCTGAAGATGCAAAATCGGTGACCGCAAGCTCCACATCAGTCATTTCTGGTGAATCTTTCTTCATAGCAACATCTACAAATAGAAGGTGCACATGAAGAGAAAATGATCCCATTCAAGGAAAATGTTCACTGTGGTGATTGAAATAGACAGCTAGATCAAATGCATAACAGGTGAAAATCAAATTGATTCACACCCTTCATCTATGCCTACTGTTATGGCCCTAGAACTACTGTTTGCACATTTGCTGACTAGAACAGGAAGTGTTCAGTGTGGGCTAGATTGCTATAAATACCCCCAGAGCACAGTGAGCAACTTGGATGCTGTAACGTGCAATAATCCCTTGCCTTTTGTTCTGCTTTTCTATGGATGGATCAGCCAAACCCAATGTTGGAAGGAAATGAATGCTGACTTGTTTGGCCACTCCTGCAGGGACTCTTCCGACCATTTACTTAGTCTGGTGCTTGCTCAAGCTGAAACAAAATCACTATAATTTGCAGGAACCCAACAAAACATGCTATGTTCTTACTTTTGAGAAAGAGTAATTTCAGTTCTATCTCAAAGGGTTTTTTCCCCACCCCAGAAGAACTACATATTTTTACTTTTTTCCAGTCTCAGATCTAATTATTATTATACTCATTTATTTATTTTTCATAGTTAATTTTATTTACATTATATTTTGTTCCTGTATACTATGCCCCCCCTTTTCATCATCTTATTATTTTATTTTATACCGATTTATTTAAACAGCTCAAATACATTGTTTTTCATACCAGATCTTTTCTATTTTTACCCTCCACCCATCAGATTGTGCCACCCTATGATTAACTTCCTGCCCCCACCCCCTCCCCACCTTGGATCCTCATACTCATTCTACAGTAATAGTTTTACACAGTATTTGTTCTTATGGAACTGAGTTAGTTCTCAGCATAATCCTTTCCAAGTTAGGTAGTAATTTACATAATCATTCCATTCCTCCCGCATGCTACATAGTATTTCATTGTGTGAATGTACCATAATTTCTCAATTCCTTCTATTGCAGTTGGATATTTGGACTATTTCCACATTCTTGTGATGGGGAATAATGCTGCTATGAACACATGTACAAATCTGTCTGAGCCGCAGTTCTCATTCTCACAGGATGTATCCCAAGCAGTGGAATCACTGGGTCATATAAAATGTCTATTTTCAGCTTTTTGAAGAAGCATTAAACTGCCTTCCAACAGGGTAAAAGGAAAACCTACCAACTGAGAACAAACAGTTGGCAATACCATCTCATACTAGAGTCTCATAATGAAAGTTTACAGAATATTTCTGGGCCTCGACAAGAAAAAGACTGATAACCCAATTACAAAATGAGCAAAAGTCATGAAAAGAATTTTCACAGAGGAAGATATATTTAAGTGGCCAACAGACACATGAAGAAATGTTGAAAATCACCAGCAATAAGAGAGATGCAAATCAAAACCACAATGATACCATCTTACTCCAGTAGCAGTGACAAAGTTTAACAGGACGGCAAGTAATAAATGTTGGAGAGGATGTGGTAAGATAGGAACTCTTATTGTTGGTGGGATTGTAAAATGGTATCAGATCTAATTTTTAATGAATTCATGGCTCATGTCAGATAATGTATAGTTTGCTTTACCTTTTCCTGCTGTCAAGTAAGATTATTAGCACTTTCTTAAGCATTCTTGATTCTTTCTAGTAATTGTTTATAAGCAAGAATTCTAAAGTATTAATTCACTAGAAAGGGAGTGCTGGTTGACTAGTGGCAAGAAGCTGCACAGCAATTGCAAAGGCACATGGTCTGAAGCCACCAGCTGTTCTACAGGAGAAGGATGGGCACTCTCCTCCTGTGCAATCAGCTGCCTCTGAAAACCCACCAGAAGGTCAGCTATGAGTCAGTTCCAACTCTACTGTACACAACAACAATAACAATCCATTATATAAGGAAGAAAGTAGTGGATATTGCTTATCTTAGTATCGACTCAGCTTCATAGATGTTTTCGAACAAACCTTTTCTGAGAAGTTAACACTTAACGATACCTCAAAAGTAACAGCAGCAAGCACTTAAATGAGAACCTACAGAGTTCAAGGTTCTCAGCCAAGCACTGAGACTGTTTTTGTACCATTGAGTCACCTGTGACTCATCGCCACCCTATGTACAGAAGCTCTGAACCCTGCTATATCCTGAGCCTATCTCACTTTATCTGACATACCTACCCTCATTGCCCCAGTTACTATATCAATACATCTCATATGGGGTCTTCCTCTTCTGTGCCGTCCCTCCACCCTTCCAAGCATGATGTCCTTCTCCAAGGACTTGTCCCTCCTGGCAACATGCCCAAAATATATGAGATGGAGCTTCAGAATTCTTGCCTTCATGCGGCAGCTTGGTTTCACCCTCTCCAAGACACCCTCTCCATTTGTTCTCTTGGTGGACTATGGTTCAAGACTCATCTACAGCATGACAACTCAAGCCATAGATTCTTCTTCTGTAAGCCTTAGACATTGTCCAGCTGTCTGATGCATAGCAAGTAATTGTAAAGACTGTGGCCTGAGTCAAGTGCACCTAGCACCTAGTCTTAAACCGACATCATTGCTCTGTAGCACTTTGGAGAGGTCCCTGATGGCAGCTTTCCCTAGTGCATTTTTTTTTCTTTTGATTTCCTGATTGCTGGAACCAAGAATGTTGACTGGGGAGGCAGGCCAGTGTTTCGGCAAGCACCATTGTGTCATCTGCATAATGAACATTGCTGATGAATGTTCCTCCAAATCTGATGCCACATTCCTCTTCATAAAGTCCATACAGCCTCCTGAATGAGCTATTCCACAGATAGACTGAGAGCTATGTCCAAAGGATACATCCCCTATGCATCAGTATGATGTGCTTTTCCTTCCTAAAGGAATATGCCAAAGTTACAGAACCAAGACTTACCAAACTTGTTTCTAGCTCTGTTTTTTCTAGGAAAGATTTGTTCATTATTCTGGCAGTTCATGGTTAATATTCTTCACCAACACCATAATTCAAATATCCATCTATATCCATGGAAGTCTGTGGGTGGCATTTCACTATCGACTGAAAAGTTAACAGATGCCACCAGGAGGCATCTTGGAAGTCAGATCTAAGTGAATTGCTGCTGAGAGGTTGTACATAGGCATTGAAAACCCTATGTGTCAGCTCCATTCAACACACAGGAGGTCACCAAGAGCTGACAGGAACTAACAAAAACAACAGCTCACTAGCTATTTGAACTAGCTCTTGAAACAGAAAGAGATAGAAAAGTAGAGAGATACATTTCCTGTTTAATCAAGCCTAAACCAACAATTTAGTTTCAGTTAGAGATCTTTTAAGAAGTGGCCTGACAGTAATTTGAAAACAGGCTCCATCTGTAGACTTCTACTCACTTCTCTGCCTGTTAATCTCACATGGGTAAGTCAAGGCCATGACCACGTGTTTATCTGTGTGAAGCATCTTCATGTACAACCACAAACAGGTTGACAAAGCCATCATTATGGCAGCAGCTCCATGAATGTTATGAGTGTTACTTTTTGATAGTCTAAAATTTTAACATCAAAGATAAGAATGAGTGTAAAAACACCAACAATATGCAATTTAAAATAGTTAATAACTATACATTTTCTATTAAATAAGATGAGTAGCTACTTTGGGTAAGATAGGTAATATTATCTATATTGAGTTGAAATTTGTATATTGAAAACTGGATTCCAAAAAGTCTTACTCTGAGGGCAACCACATGGATCAAGACATTCTGAACTGAAGACTTATTTCAAAGACATCTTAGCTTCTGTTTGGCATTGCTGCTTTGAATGCTTTTGCTTCTATATTATTATTTCAACTTGTAAATCTTTATAAGAGGGAGCTTCCCGTCTTTATTCCAAAGAGCAGCTAGTAGATTCAAACCAATGACGTTTTTATTAACAGTACATCACATATAAAACCATATCATTAGAGCACCTTATTCCATATTTCTAAATTAGCTCCTTTTTTGGTTTTTATGTGATTGATTGATTGATTTTGTGAGTGACGTTAGAAAACAAAACCATCATAAAGCTGCCTAAAATTTTGTCAAAGTTATTTTCATCAACTCTCATTTTAGGTTCTATTACACAGTCATTATAACAGGAGACCAAGCAAGAAGGCTGCTTTCCTTGTTAGCTCCAATTGGTCATTTCCCCACTTGCTCTGGGGACCATCTTCCTTTCAGAGTCTGCCTCTGATGTTAAGTGACTTATATGTTTAGATCCACCAGGTCAATTATAAGACAAACCTATTTACCCAGCCTAGCCCAACGGGGCTGTGAGAGACAGAGCATTCTACAATAACACATGATCTCATTTTTCAGAGAACCAGACTGTGGCTTGGAGACCAATGTCATAAGTGCTTTGGAAAAACAAACAAACAAACAAACAAACAAACAAACAAACACAACAAAGTGCTTTGAACCTAGAGCAGTTTATAAATGCCCTTGAAAGGTTTATATATTACTGTAACATTGTAATTAATTTGAAAATTCAAAAGGAAAGTAATGGTTAAATAAATCATGCACAGCTATATTATAGAATAACATCCAACTATTATGAATAAATAGTTGAACATATCTATGAAAGCATTTCCATGACATACTAAAAATATAGCAAGTTTAAGAGCAATGTTTACTATGCTGACTAAAAGGATGAAAGTAATGATTAGAGTATTATCTCAATTTTGTGAAAAGAATAAAATCCTTAGGTAAGGATGGATGAAAGAATTAAGAAAATACTCATAATTATGTGTTGTTGTTATAATATGCATTGAATCACCCACAACTCAGCAACCTTATGTACAATAGTTGTGAACCCTGCCCTATCCTGAGCCGATCTCAATGACTCTGATACACCTAACCCTATTCCCTCAGTTACCATATCAATCCATCTCATCAGGGGTCTTCCTCTCCTCCATTGTTCCTTCACCCTTCTAAGCATGATAACCTTCTTCAAGGGCTGGTCGTCCTGGCCATGTGCCTAAAGTATGTGAGATAGAGCTTCAACATCCTTTCCTCCAAG